TATATATATATATATATATATACACACACACACAGTTTATAGGATAAACAGCATAAATGTAAAGTGAGATAACATTGTAATAAAATATTTTATTAAAATGAACGTATAGCAGTTTTGAAAATAGTACTTTTATAAATGACAAGACATAATAAAATAAATAAAATGAGAAACATTAATACATTGATAATACTTATTATGCATTAATCTCTTAATGATTTCATATAAGTAAAATTACCAATCGTTATCATCATCAAGATCATTTCCATTTTTCAAACTTGAAAATAAAACATCATTGATCTTGGGACGAGGATCCTCTTTGATTTTCGTTGATATTGCTTCTGTCTGTCCCAACATCCATTCTAATTCTATGTAACAAAGTAAACAGCACAATTATTTCCTTGTACATTTTTTTTGTGACACTTTGCAATCAAGCAAATATTACCTGCTTCGGACAGTTTCATGCCACGGAATTCGAGTGGCCCAATAATTTGTTTCACCATATTTCCTTCATGATAAATGAATATTGTAGGAAGATTACTGTCGGGCCAGTTTGGGATGCAAGTGGTAGAGATACTTTTCAAAAATTTAGTGGCAGGGAACTTTCTTGCTAAACTGGCAAGATGCTGATTGACTAGAGTACAGAGAGGAATGCTGAAAATATATTTATGAGTTAGTTTCATGGTTGTTCACTATGTGTTCACTATGAAGGTTTATTCTGTTCTGCTTTATCATACCCAGATTTGTAAAGATATAAAACAACCCAAACATCTTCACCAGCATTATTAACTTCTTTAACATAATCTTCTGCAGATATTTCTCGCACCTCTCCATATTTACACTTGTTAGCTAACTCCTTCATTTCTGCTATTCTCTTTCGTCGATATTCCTCCAGAACTCGTTCATCCTCTTCATCTTCTAGCTCATCTAACTCATCCAAGGTCTTCTTTTCTAAATTGTTACAATCTGTAAAAATTATGAATTTGTGAGCCGACAATAACACATCGATAAACACTAAAATACAATTTAATAATTGGATATTAAAAAACATAATCACCACGTCCTGTTTTCTCATCTATTGTATTTTCCAATAGATTTACTATCTGATCCTCAGTAATTTCTTGTTCCTTTTCCTTCTCAGGTATGATACCTTTCCTCCTAAGGATATCATTCCATTCGGTGTCTTCATTTGGATCTTGCTGAAATTAACTTGAAAAGCTATCTGCTTGGATAATATAAAACGCAAAAATAACTAAATTCTATTTTTTATATTACGAAATAATATATTAAAAAATATTATTTAAATGAATATGTATATATATATTTTTTTTCTACCTAAAGTCATGCTACCATATAAGGAATCACGCATTCGTTTATTATAATTAACCTCCGCCTAACCTCTTAGCCTCCAAAATGCTCCATTTTTATTAATACTCACCATTTTGAGAGACTAATATTAAGTACTTTTATTTTATTTAGTGGAAACTAATTCTGCTTTTAGTATTCTTTTAGAAAAAAACCTTTTAAATATATACAATTATTGCAACGAAAGAGAAACTGATAGCGACAACTCTATTCTCAACTGATCGACTACATGCTGCATGCCACTTATGCCTGATGCACACGCATGTGTCCGACTATTATTGCTTATTTGTACATAGAAATTGTATGCGATATATGAGAAATACATGTTAAATATTTACCAAAAAAAAAGTGATGATTTTTATATAAGACTTGCGCAATACACTATCTACATTTAATAACTAGTAATTTTAATTATTATTTATGATTTTATTAGTGTTATATAAATATAATTTGGATATAATTTTCTTTTTTATCAATTTGATACATATCGCTAAAATACACTGCACAAGAAAAACAGGATGTATATATAGAAATGACAAAAATATGTTAAAAAGTTTTATTACATTTATCTGATACAATTGTAAAAATATATTAAATTTTGCTACGTAAAATGATAATATTTTAGAGTATTTGTAAAAATAATCTGTCATGTTCAAGTAATCATAATAATTACAGTATACAATTAATTACATTAATTATAATTATATATATATAATTTTTAATATATATAAATTAAATTTCAAACCAATACAAGTAAATATATATAAAATAATAGTTTATGCACTTAAGTTTTTTTCAATTTAATTCATCATGCATACATATTAGATCATTCTCTTGGATAATGATTTCAATATTTCTTGGATAATAATTCTCATTAATCATAATTCTCAGTATTGAATTAAATTCAATTTATAATATTAACAAGACAACCATATTAACAAGTTAATTTTATTCATTTATTCTATTAGATATTATAATCATTAAAAATTCTTTAAAAACAGATTCAAAGTTGTGGATACGAAATTTAGAACATTCATGATTAATATTTGTTTTGGCACTTTACTTGAAAGTCGCATATACGTCAGTCTTTATATTTGTATATTGTGTAATCTAGAATTAACATTTTTTTAAATAATAAATCCTTGTGCAGACGAGACAATTTTCCTTGTTAACAGTATATATATATGTGTACTACAATAATTAAAATATTTAAAAAAATATATGTATGTATATATATATATATATATACGTTTTATAGATAAAGATATGTTCATGTTGATTAAATAATAAATTAAAAATATTAATAATGACTAAAGCTGCGTATTCGCATATATGGTCATGTATAAATACATAAGACAAGTTTTCAATCAAGCACTGTTTGTGTATATACACCTGTTACTATACATATCGTAATAAATAAAGATTCTTAATATTGTTTATATTGTAACATGTAATAAAAGTATCCTAAATAATGCGACAGAGTAGTAACTTTCGGTCAATATACTAAGATACTTCTTTACAGAGATGTCTATTTATTTTCGTGACTTGCATCATTTGATTGTTGATTCTTGGTCTCCACGGGAAGTACAAGCGTAGCAATTGCAGCACACAAAGCGGTTGTCGCATAAGTGATCATAGCTCCCGTGATGGACCATTGTAAAAATACTTGCGCTATGTATGGAGTGATCATAGCACCGATTCGTGCCATAGCACTACACGCACTTACACCTATGCTTCGTAAATGTGTAGGATATACTTCTGGCGTGTATACGTATGCAGCTTGAAACACACCGGCAATTAAGCCTCTGGCTAGGAAAATAGCAATGGTCAACACTGCTCTACTCAACAAACAGGTTCTGCTTAAGAAGCAAACTACTATGGCGAACATGACTAACTGGCAAGCCATTGTCTTTCGTCTGCCTATTTTCTCGATCGCGAAAACAGTAGAAAATATGCCAGGAAATTCCGCCAATGTTGTCCAAAGTAGATCGATGTAGTCACTACGCCGCAATCGGCAGTCAAGTTGGCATGTACCTTCATTGTTCGTACTCCATGTGCTGCATTGCTCTGAGGATGTATGAAAAAGTTCAGTTGTCATTAATACCACTCCATAGTAGCAGAACGCTGTACTCATCCTATAAAATATGTAATAATATATATATTTACATCGTAAATATTACAAATATATCTTATTTGCGAACGTTATACTAAAATTGCAAAAATATTGAGATGAAGTTAATATTTTTGTATTTAATTTGTTATTTACCATACAAGCCAAAGTAAAGCAGACGTTCTGTACATTTCTTTACTCAGAACATCTTTAAATCGGCCATGATGACCTTGATAAAATCTATCCATAACTAATCTTCCTACAGGCAATGATTTTTTATTTTCTCTAGCTACACGTTCTAATGTTGAAATTGCACGATCTATTCTTCCAATTGTCATATCAAATACTGTAGATTCTGGTAGCCACTGTAAATATATGAAATTATTTAATATAATTTCATAAAATATTTCTAAATGAATGATATACTTAAAAATATCTAAATTTATTACAAACCGGTGTTATTACAGCAAATATAAATAATGGAATAGACGATAATATAAGAAGCCATCTCCATCCAAAATTGGGCATAACAATTAATGCAATCGCCACTTCGAAACAAGCTCCAAGAGCCCAAAAACACTATAATGTACAACATATATATCTTATATTGTGTTTAATATTACAATGTGTATTAATCCATATACTTATAATGTAAACTTACATCCAATAAAATAACACATCTTGCCCGTTGTTTTGCTGGCAAAAACTCTGCATACAATGTGACCCTGTAAAAAAAGAGTATGCATCAATGACAACAAGTTTCAAAGCAAATTAATTGTTCATCTTTAAGAAACTTACCAAATACTTACGATTGTGGTACACAACCAATAGCAAATCCTACAACTCCTCTAAGCAATAGAATCCAGAGAAAATTTGGTGCGAATGAACTTAGAAATGCATAATAGGCCAATAATACTGCACACAAAGTTAAAGCTTGCTTACGACCGTATCTGTCGCTTAAATTATTCCAAAAAGTGGAACTTAACATCATACCAAGAAATACTACCTAAAACTCAATTATATAATAATAATAAAAAACTCGAATATTGTCACATATTTTACAAAGATAATAATACAAATCCAAAAAATACCGTTGTGGTCAGTGCTTGCTGGTATCTAGAAATACCCCAATCACAATGTAAGGATGGACTTAGAATACTCAATATCGTGATCTCCATACTATCTACCATCCAACAAAGACCCGTGAATAGAGACAATTTTACTTGGAATTTTCCAAAGCCTAATGTATTGATAGCTTGTACCACAGTAAAGGTATCTGTTAATAAGATTTAATTATTTATTAATTAATTCAACTTAATATAATTTCCCAATTGTTACATTTTTTTCCATTACTAAACTGATATTTTACATATTCATATTCATTTCATGATACTTCATATTCATATATGTATAAAAGCATATTGTTCCTTTTTAAATGTTAGATGACACATTTTATTATAGCATAAAGTTTATGAAAAATATACACACCTAATTCCTTGTACACATGCATGTCTAATGTACACTGTTGTTAAAGATACTTTACAGCGTTCCATGTTACCACAATTTAACGTAGTCATTAGTAAAACCAGTTTTCCCAGTGTTGTGTTATGTTATCATGCGGTATTAAATATTTACAGCATATGGTCCTCTTTTGAATTAAAGTTAAGTAAACCCTTCTGTACAATTAGAACACGGCATAATTAAACACTGCAATATATTACTTCTATACCATTTACATATTTATAAGAGATTTCAATTTGATATAACATACCATCAGGTATAACCACAACAGAAGAAAGTTCCATCGATCCTTCAATAGTATTCTCCAAGCTCGTAGGACAACTCGATGTACTTTGTGCGCCAACATTTAACTCCGCCCCATGTGATTCTTCTAATTGACGATATGGTTCATTAGATTTTTTATCTGGTTCCGACATGGTTATGCTTTTTTTTCAATATAATCACAACATAAAGATATTCGTTCAGTCACTGATGAAAATGAGTAAATTGGAATCAGCTCTGAAAATGTTTATTAATTCTATTAAACTTTGTATATATATATATATAAATACAACTTTCAACATCAAATTTTGTATGCAGCACGCGTCATAACACAAAAATGTCAACTGCTTTGTTGGTTAATCTTTCCATCGCATAGTTTAATTTGTAACTAATCGTGCCACTTTTTAATGATAAATTTGTTTAATTTACGATGAGAAAAATTAAATAAATTAAAGTAAAAATGAGTAAAATGTAAAACGCGAATCTATAAGCTCTTAAATAGAGGCAAACAGAATCTTATCGAATATTTTCATTCAATATTCATTTTCAATATTATGAATTTTATTAGCTTCCATACGATTTCATGAAATCCGTATGCGTTCTTCCGCGACCGAATCGACGACCAAATGAGAAACTGATCTCTTGCGGACGTTTACGATAAGATTTTAAAGCTTTCTATCTTTCGGTAATTCCACGTATTTATCAATCGCTGCGCAAATACTAATTGTGAAACTAATCGAATTAATGATACCGACTGTGATACTACTCCATTATCCATCAGTCCATGGTGGTTTCCTTTCTCCATGGTTTCCTTCCTCCATGGTTTCTCTACCATGGTGCGTCATGAGAAGAATGAGGAGCTCCACACAATAAAAGAAACAGGCAACAGAGAGTGAATAAGAATTTCAACCTATCAGAAACTGTATTCCACAATATATGATTTCTGATAGGTTGAAATTCTTATTCTTTGTTTTCAGTTCCTTTTATTGTGCGGAGCCCCTGACTCGTCTTTCTTCTTTTCATCATAATGGCGACCATGGCGACTGATAAGTAAAAACGTGTTAGCACGTGTTGCAAGATTTGAAGTTATTAGATCACAAAAATTTTTGCAAAACTGTTGCGTTATGTTAACGCAACTATGTTTTTGCAAAAAAATAGTCAACCTTACTGGTTGAATAAGCGTTGCATAGTGCCTATCGAGCACTTGCTATCCTATGGCTCTTATTAACTGTATTGTAGTCAAATGCTGTTTTCAACATAACAAGTCTGTGGTAAGTAGTAATTCTATTAGAAATCTATAATTAACTAAGAATATTATTTACATTGGCTTTGTTCCCATATTCACTGCTAATGCTGATCTACAGCACAGATGATGTATACTATAAATTTTCAATATTAGCAGTGAATCGCAATACAAGCAATTTTGTTACTGTTATTATATACAAGTATTTAGTATTAGTATTCTCTAAACTATATTAATCAATAATTAAATTATTATTTTCAAGAATTATTTACAAGAGCCAGAAGTTATTGCTGAAGTGTCCCTGCCTCAATCTTCTTATAAAGAAATATCACAGACAGTTCTTAATTTATATCACAAATTGGAATTGGCAAAGTATATTCGACAGATTGGCTAATACTTGAGGTGTATAGCTGCTATTGCACTGAATGGCTATTTGAATCATTATCTATTGGATCGATTGTGACCTGAAACGCTGGATGGAGCAATTTTTGTGATCCAAGATTCCAATTTGCATCTTCTTACATATAAATTATCTTATTGAAAATCTTATTGATTAATATGTTTATTTCCTAACTACATTACTTGTATGTTGTTTTTTTTGTAGACAGTGATATTCATAGTCGGTTAGAAGATAGACATCTTAAATAATGTTTTATAATGGTCTTTGGTTGTTGATCCGCGGACGATATTTTAAGATATTACTTAAGACTTTCCCCTGTAAGATCCGATCATGAATATCATTCAAGTCTATTTTTTTTTTTAACTTAGTGAAACACGTGACTATCATGCTAGAAACAGTTTTTGTATCTAAGCCTGTACAAACTATTAAATAAAGATTTTGATAATTAAATGCTGACCTATCTTAACTTATTAGATTAGGGATAGCAAGCCCTTTCTTCACCAGTATCAGACTACTAGATCCTCTAGAGGATCTGAAATGTTATTCTATATTCTATTCTTATATAGGAATCATATAAAAAATAAGTGCTTTCGGGAACTGAAGGATTATTCGCATTACTAATTAGATTTTCAAATTCAATGAGAAGATAAATTTGATAATAAAATTCTATTAAAAGGCAAAGAATTAAAGTTATGCAATTTATTAAATTTTAGCAAAAGTATCATAAATCTCAACATAGGCATAATGTAACTTCGACAATTAATTTAAATAATTGCTTAAATATAAAGTGATAGACATCATGTGGTTGATAATTAAACTAAAGTTACACTTGGGAGCGCTATATTTACATACTAAAATAGCATATACATATATAGAATACGAATATAGATATCATTTTATCCTTCATGTCATCAAACATTAAACAAGGATGAAATAATATGATGACTTTTGCAATAAGATTAGAAACAAGATCATTTATGTTAAATACGAAACTATGGTCTGAACGTTAAGAAGTTGAACTATTATATATATTCATATAAATTAATTTAAGAAATAACATTGTATACCGATATAGTTATTGGACTTTCAACGCAATCAATCTGAAATATTAATAATCCCCCCAAATTCTCAAATTTTAAAAAATTAATAAACTTATTACATGCAAGAAATTTGATTCCCGGCTGAAGCAATATTTTTCGCAATAAATTTATTACAGTTTTTTAAAATTTAGAAAATTTGAAGAGATTATTAATATTTCAGATTGTATTGAAAGTTCGACACAATTATCATTACTGAAATTAATTCATTTATATGAATATATATAATAGTTCAACATCTTCAGACCGTAGTGGCGCTTCGTATTTAAAGTATTGATATTTTAATGAAATATTTAATATATATATTACAATAGCAGGCAAGATAGATACACTATATGAAATCTGGATGCAATCGCTATTAGTTTAGTATGTGTTCCTTTGCTATCAATTTAGTTTTTCATTTTCTTTCAGAGTATATCTAGAATAGGCATGTCTGTATATTCTTGTATCTAGAGATATTCTGTTTATGAGTATCATTGCTGCTATCAACTCGCAGTATTTCGTAGCTGACATTTCTTAACAGTCAACTTTAATCGCTTAATATCTCAGTTCGTGGGGCAGAGCGACACTTTTTTCTGCCAGATTCCTTCATTTCGTACAAAAACGCATCGATTAAGTATATTTTTATCAAAATTTGAGGTAGAAGGAATCTTCTTAACATTTACCCACTTTTACCAATTTTTACATAATCTCAGATTGCTTATGGAAACAGGTGGATCGTGGATGAAATTGGCTGCATTCAGCAGAGTACAACAGTTTTGCAACCGTTTTGATTTTCTGCTGAAATTGGACCATTCCTCTCGCTCTAAAAGCATAACTCAATCAGCGCGAAGAAAATAGTTGCAAAATAAACGTTCTATTGAACGCAGCTATTGGACTAAACAGTTGAGTGAGCGCTCGCTGTTATTGGTGTATTTTTTTAGATCATCTAATTAGCATTTTAGATCTGGAAGCATACATCAATAGCAGCATGCGCTCAATTGTCGAGTTCGCTGAATGCAGCCAATGGTTGCGTTCAAACCGGATAAAGCGACTCCGGACACACTCTGTCCGGCGAGCCTGCTCGCTGAGCGATTGAATGTAATTGGTTGGATCTATAAGTAATAACCAATCGTATTCATTTGCTTGGCGAACAACCTGCTTTATCTGATTTGAAGAACTCATTAGGTACATCTAGATTCCAGAATATTCCAAAAACACGATCGCTCAGTTTTATACATACATACATACATACACACATATATGCATTTGGGAAAGTGCACTATAAATGATGCTATTAACACAATATAACCAGTAGACACTTAGCGAAAAAATACGTGTTCACGCAAGTAAGGCAGCTTTTGTTTTGGGCTGGATCCAGTGAAATGCAAGATGACAAGAACATACATATTACACAGATCCCGTGTGAGCAGATATCCGTGATAAAAGAAGACAATTTAAGAGATTATGGCTGCTATAAATATTTCTAAAACATAGATAAAAAAAAGAAAAATTATTACGTGCAGTATTAAACAATGCAGTAATAATAGTAAAAATTCACAATGCACTTTTTTTCATTATCCCAAAGATATCATAAGGTAAGTTTTTATAATTTATAAAAAGTAAGTAGTTAAGCTAGGTTAACTTAAACATAATCAAATATAATTTTGTGAAAAAAGATAAAAAAGATTTTTACATTGATTACGTTTACACGGCATCCTTAATTATATTTTTTAGAGCAAAGCAATGGATCATATAGGACATTATATCCTCTTTCGGTCCTGGATTTTTCAAACGTTAACATGGCGAATGCTCACGTGACTGTGATGCGAAGATCAAAGGGGCCAACATGGAATGTTCTTACTGGATATACTGTGGTACCAATCAGAAAAGAGAACACTATCCGTTCCACTCTTCCTTGATTCTCTCTGGCATGGAATGTTATGAAGGAAAAGTGAGGAGTTAGCAGGCTAATATATATAGAAGTTTGTGGTTGAAATTGGCATTACTTGATCAACTGTGAGGGGTTTAAAGATTAAAATCAATGTCCTGATATTAATAAATGCTCCGTTTTTTCAAAATGCACCGACGAGGTTTTAGAGGCATGTCCTGCTCCTACACACGACATGATAGAGACGGTAAGATAAAAATTCCTCTAAACTCATTTCTAAAATCATTTGTCCTATTTCTTTTCGAATGCTTTTTTGTCACCTTTTTTCTTTCATTTTTAGTACAATCAATCTGGAGAAACAATCAACAAGGACTTGGTTCATAAACACTTACATGTGTTTTTATTTGAACTTCCTGTTATAAATTACTTTGATTAACAATCTCTATTAAGAAAAACTGATTATTTATAAATGATTGTAATTCAATTCTTTACATATAATGTAGTTATCTAAATTATATTCCATTATATTTTGAATATTTCATTTTTTACAAGATTCTTTATTTATGATGTAATTTAGCAAATTAATGATGGAATTGTTTCCATGGAATATTTTTGTAATAATTACTGTTCATATTAATGAACGATATTATCTTTTGTTGTATATATAATATTTTAGATCTATGATAATTTCTTTTATCTATTGAATGAAATTTTTAGAAATTAGAATTTATATATATATATATATACACACACACACATATATAGATACACACACGTACGCGCACGCGCGCATATAAAACACACACACACACATACACACACACACACATACACACACACACAGAAAGATGTTCTTAAGACAGAGCCATAAATCCTTGAATATTTTTTTCATAAACTTAATTATTATGAGAGGCTTTATTAAAATAAGTATTAGAAAAATGTTATTTAAATCAGTCTGTAATATCTATTTTTTTTAACAAGATGATCAGTTTAAAAAATAATTCAAAATACATGCATCATTTTTTAATTTTGTTTTCTATTTTTTTATTAAATTTTTTTATGCTGATCAAAACACAAACAAAACTTGAATACTTTGTATTCGCTTTTAATCTTTTTCAAAATCTGTTAATTTTTAATAACCACTCTTCATCAATCTTTAATAAACACTCTTAGTTTGAATGGATTGATATTTTATTTTTATAATAATTGCTATTCTTTCGTTAAGCTTTATGCCTATGATGCTAG